GCCCACTTTCCTTAGTAGACCCTGTCTCCTTATAAATGCTTAGTAAAAAGTCAAACCACTTGAAAGGAAGGATTGTACTGTCCTTCTGCGAAATCAGCTTTATGGGCCATTTGTTCAACTTGTCCTGTGTCTTGTCAGGTGTGTCTCATGTTTACCACACTTGTCAGCATCTTTTCTCACCTTTCACTCAGTTGTACCTTTTAATGCATTGACAGCTTCCTTCAGCAAATTTAATGGCCTCTTTCAGACAAAGGAATAATTGGCTAATCAGATCTTCTGATTTGCAATAACCCTAAGGAAGGAGTTTCTTAGCAGTCCCCCAGACAGTTAAAAGCATGTCCCAGGCCTATAAATGATGGTGGAGCAGAAGTCACCAGGTACTTGTCAAGCCCGTGGAGCAGAGGACTGCACACAGGGTGGCACTTGTTGAAAGATTCTGCTTCAAGCCCTTCCCCTCCTAAGCATCCCCTTATTATTTTTTAACTAAAGCAAATTGCTTGTTTCTTTGCAAGTTAAAAACTAGTATTTTTCTTGAAGACTTTCCTAAGAGTTAACCATTATAATGTAAAAAAGCAGCATTCTTAAAATATTTTACCAGTTTATGCACTAAGAAATATTTCAAACTTAAGCTCTATGATATTTTATTTCTAAAGCACAAGAAAAGCTCTAATTTCCTGACAATGACACATAGAACCAGACCTCTACCATTGTATTGGGTGGCCATTTATTGTTTTACGATTCCTAACTCAGCTAACAACTTCTCCAGTGTGTCCCAGAAGAATCACACCCCTTCCCCACTCTCCATCCATGGAATCACATTAAACTGACACCTATCTAGCTTCAGGGGTGGGCTGAGCAGAAAGCGCTGTAGTTCTCTAGTGATCCAAATGAGTTAAGGCAGCATTTCCCAATCTTTGTCCATGGTATGGGCCACAAAAACAAACAAACACAAAATATTATTAAACTGAATAAAAGAATGGAGATACTCTAAGCCACAGATGACTAGCCTGGTCTCTGCTGACTGCACTTCAAGGCAGAAGAGATTCAATACCTCAGCCCACGTGCAACTTATTCAAGGGCTACCTGTATTAATATAGTATCCAGTGTGCTTGGCCACACCAAATGAAGCTCTAGATTAAGGGAGGCATTCACAAAACAATTCGGACCAATTTGATGATGAGATTAAATTCTGGTTTTGGTGTCTGACTCTTGATGTCAGCTCAGGTCATGATTTCAGGGCTGTGAGATCCAGCCCTGCATCAGGCTCCACACAGGCATGGAGTCTGCTTAAGATTCTCTCTCTCCCTTTGCCTCTTCCTGCCACACTCTCCCTCTCTAAAAATAAAAAAAATAAAATAAAAAAAAATAAAAAGGTAAAAAAGATAAACTCATGTTTTGGTGATAGGGAAAACAGAATCTCTATTTTCCTATAGACTAAGCTGTGATAATGATGTGAACCTGCAAAAGCAGGACTGCTCCGACAGACCGGAAGATGAAGACCCTTAGGCGTGTCTTTGTGCATACAATGAAAGACATGCTCCTGATCATTTCAGGAGCCATTTTGCACTTACGCCACTTTCTGTGATATACAATTGAAGCTGTAACTGCTGTTACATACAGATAAACCTCTGTATGTACCATATTACACTCCAACATTTTTTCACCTGTTGTCTCCCCAACTAGACTTTAAAGTTATTGAGGGTAGGATATGTATTAGTTAGATATGTCTGTACAGCAAAGTGCATGGCCCATATATTGAGGTATTCCATCAAGATATATGATTGTTAAAATGAATGCAAGAATGCATATTTTCAATTAAAAACTATGAATGAAATGGAATCAAGATTTTTCCTGTTGTAACCCACAGACATCTGAATGCCTTTATAAGCAAAGCCTTAAGAACTGGGTACCCTGTCCTGGGCTGCAATGTTGGTTCAACATCCGCAAATCAATCAATGTGATACAACACAATAATAAAAGAAAGAACAAGAACCATATGATACTCTCAATAGCTGCTGAGAAAGCATTTGACAAAGTACAGCATCCCTTCCTGATCAAAACTCTTCAAAGTGTAGGGATAGAGGGTACATACCTCAATATCATCAAATCCATCTATGAAAAACCCACAGCAAATATCATTCTCAATGGGGAAAAACTGAGAGCTTTTAACCTAAGGTCAGGAACATGGGATGTCCACTATCACCACTGCTATTCAACATAGTACTAGAAATCCTAGCATAGGCAATCAGACAACAAAAAGAAATAAAATGCATCCAAATCAACAAAGAAGAAGTCAGACTCTCACTCTTTGCAGATGATATGATACTTTATGTGGAAAACCCAAAAGACACCACTCCAAAACTGCTAGAATTTATACAGGAATTCAGTAAAGTGTCAGGATATAAAATCAATGCACAGAAATCAGTTGCATTTCTATACACCAACAGCAAGACAGAAGAAAGAGAAATTAAGGAGTCGATACCATTTACAATTGCACCCCAAACTGTAAGACACCTAGGAATAAACCTAACCAAAGAGGCAAGGAATCTGTACTCAGAAAACTATAAAGTACTCATGAAAAAAATTGAGGAAGACACAAAGAAAAGGAAAAACATTCCATGCTCATGGATTGGAAGAACAAATATTGGGGAAACGCATATGCTATGTAAAATAATCTACACATTTAATACAATCCTTATCAAAATACCATCAATTTTTTTTTCAAAGAAATGGAACAAGTAATCCTAAAATTTATATGGAACTGGAAAATACCCTGAATAGCCAGAGGAATGTTGAAAAAGAAAGCCAAAGTTGGTGGCATCACAATTCCAGACTTCAAGCTCTATTACAAAGCTGTAATCATCAAGACAGTATGGCACTGGCACAAAAACAGACACATAGATCAATGGAGCAAAATAGAGAGCCCAGAAATCGACCCTCAACTCTGTGGTCAACTAATCTTCAACAAAGCAGGAAAGAATGTCCAATGGAAAAAAAGTCTTTTCAACAAATGGTATTGGGAAGTTTGGACAGCCACATGCAGAAAAATGAAACTGGACCATTTCCTTACACCACACCCCAAAACAGACTCAAAATGGATGAAAGACCTCAATGTGAGACAGGAATCCATCAAAATCCTTGAGGAGAACACAGGCAGCAACCTCTTCGACCTCAGCTACAACAGCTTCTTCCTAGAAACATCGCCAAAGGCAAGGGAAGCAAGGGCAAAAATGAACTATCAGGACTTCATCAAGATCAAAAGCTTTTGCACAGCAAAGGAAACAGTTAACGAAACCAAAAGATAACTGACAGAATGGGAGAAGATATCCGCAAATGACATATCAGATAAAAGGCTAGTATCAAAATGCTATAAAGAACTTAACAGACTCAACACCCAAAGAACAAATAATCCAATCAAGAAATGGCAGAAGACATGAACAGACATTTCTGCAAAGAAGACATTCAGATGGCCACCAGACACATGAAAAAGAGCTCCACATCACTCAGCATCAGGAAAATACAAATCAAAACCACAATGAGATACCACCTCATACCAGTCAGAATGGCTAAAATTAACAAGTCAGGAAAGGACAGATGTTGGAGAGGATGTGGAGAAAGGGGAACCCTCCTACACTGTTGGTGGGAATGCAGGCTGGTGCAACCACTCTGGAAAGCAGCATGGAGGTTCCTCAAAAAGTTGAAAATAGAGCTACCCTACGACCCAGCAATCGTACTGCTGGGTATTTACCCTAAAGATACAAATGTAGTGATCTGAAGGTTCATGTGCATCTGAACATTTATAGCAGCAACGTCCACAATAGCCAAACTATGGAAAAACCTAGATGTCCATCAACAGATGAATGGATAAAGAAGAGGTGGTATAGATACACAATGGAATACTATGCAGCCATCAAAAGAAATGAAATCTTGCCATTTGCAATGACATGGATAGAACTAGAGGATATCATGCTGAGTGAAATAAGTCAATCAGAGAAAGACAATTATCATGATCTCTCTGATATGAGGAATTTGAGAGGCAGGGCGGGAGGTTGTGAGGGTAGGGAAGGAAAAAATGAAACAAGATGGGATCAGGAGGGAGACAAACCATAAGAGACTCTTAATCCCACAAATAAACTGAGGGCTGCTGGTGGGGGGGGGCTAGGGATAGGGTGGCTGGGTTATGGACATTGGGGAGGGTATGTGCTATGGTGAGTGTTGTGAAATGTGTAAGTCTGATGATTCATAGACCCGTACCCCTGGGGCAAATAATACATTATATGTTAATAAAAATAATTAAAAAAAAATAATCTGGGTACCCTGGACTATAATATGTGGAGAGAAAGATAACTAGTTAAATGACTTTATTTAAAAAGTACATTGCCAAATTTATTTTTCATTTTTTTGAAGCTGTAAGTGTCCCCATCCTAGTCAAGTGGCCTCAAGGTTCAAGTAAACAAAAAAATAACAGCAACAGAAATGCTAAAATTCTTATCTTTCAGTTCTTCTTTACTTATTTATTATAGTTCTTAATTACTTATTCTAACGCCTTCCCCTACGTTAGACACTATAATTGCTTCCTCCCAGTGCCCCTGAAAGAGAAATCAATTCTTATTCCAAAACCATGGAAGTGATGGGCAGATGGGCATGATGACCAAAACAAACCAGGGCACAAATCAAGCTGACTGCGTTTGATTTTTAAACCTCCCCTCAGCAAATCTCTAAGACTGATCTATTGCAAAATTATCATCAGGTTTGCTTTGGTGATTTTGAATTTTATTCAAAGGGAAATCAGGATAAATTATAACTGACTTCCTTTCACAAAAAATACACTGTAGCTTCACTGAGAATTTAGAAACTGGGGTCAGATAGGAAGACTCACGTTGTTTTGAGCCAAGTGGGATTTTATTTACAGTATTCTGAATATGTCAGTTGGATAGCAGATTAACTGGGAAAAGGGAAAGGAGAAAGATACAAGATAATTTTTCTTCTCTTTCTTTTTTAAAAATATGGAACCCTTCATGAATTTGCCTGTCCTCCTTGCACGGGGGCCATGCTAAACTCTGTATTGTTCCAACTTTAATAAATGTGCTGCTGAAGCCAGCACAAGATAATTAACATTTGTCTCTGCATGGAGAATCATAAGCTGAGCCACATAACTTTTTTCTCCTAGAACTGTACCATACATTTCCTGAATTGTCTTAGACTGATCTCCACTGAAAAACATTTCAAAACCCTTAGGGCTTTTTGTTTTGTTTTGTTTTAATTTTTATTTTAGAAAGATCAGGAGGACAGTCAGAGGGAGAGGGAAAGAACCTCAAGCAGAGTCCCTGCTGAGCTGGGAGTCCAAAGCAGGGCTGGATTTCATGACCCTGAGTTCATGACCTGAACTGAAATCAAGAGTTGGATGCTCAACTGACTGCCCCTAAAGCCCTGGTGCCCCTAAAGCCCTTAGGTTGTTTGTTTTTTTTTTTCCTTTATTAGCATATAATGTATTATTCGCCTCAGGGGTACAGGTCTGTGAATCATCAGGTTTATACATTTCACAGCACTCACCATAGCACATACCCACCCATATGTCCATAACCCAACCACCCTCTCCCTCCAGTCCCACCCTCCAGCAACCCTCAGTTTATTTCATGAGATTGAGTCTCTTATGGTTTGTCTCCCTCCTGATTTCATCTTATTTCATTTTTTCCCCTCCCTAAACCCCAGACCCCCCTCAACACCCCCTCTCAAATTCCTCATATCAGAGAGATCATATAATTTTTTTTCTCTGATTGACTTATTTCACTTAGCACAACACCCTCTAGTTCCATCCACGTCATTGCAAATGGCAAGATTTTGTTTTTTTGATAAGCCCTTAGGTTTTAATGCTTCAGTAAAGGTGCATCAAGCCCGGACTCTGTCATCTTCTAGTCTTCTCCTTGAAAAGAGAATCTCCTGCTGAGTTAGTTAATGAGTAAGTCTCTGCCTTAATTACAAAGAAACCACAAGAAAGGCTTTCCCTCCTCTGCTTCCCACTCTACAAGAATAGGACTCATAATGAAATGAGTATTAGATAGTGAAAAACCCTAACTTCTAGTCTCTTCCCTATCAAAGTAGCTAAAATATCTTCCTTTTATCCTTCTATTGAACTCTTTTAACCTCAGTTTATATTTCAATAAAACAACGGTGTGCCTCAAAGTCTACTTTTCAACAGTTCAGTGGTTCTATAGCACTGGTACAAAGGAGTTGAGAACATCTGAGACTATGGTGTATGTTATTAGTTACTTCTGGAAAGTTGAGAAGTCTCCTAATTGAGGTTTATTTTAATGCTATACTGGTACATATCCTGGACCTACTGCCATGAGAGATATGCTCTTATTAGGGGCATGAAATGGTGATGAATCAAGGAAAAAGCACTTGATTTTACTAACTTATATGTGCAAAAACCCTAATATACAATTTATTTGCCAAGTCCTGGTAAAGCATCTCCCAAGTTCTTACTAAATTACCTTTGTAGGGGCGCCTGGGTGGCTCAGTGGGTTAAGCCGCTGCCTTCGGCTCAAGTCGTGATCTCCGGGTACTGGGATCGAGTCCGCATCGGGCTCTCTGCTCAGCAGGGGGCCTGCTTCTCTCTCTCTCTCTCTCTCTCTCTCTGCCTACTTGTGATCTCTCTCTATCAAATAAATAAATAAAAATAAATAAATAAATAAATAAATAAAAATTTAAAAAAAACTAAATTACCTTTGTAGGGGAGCCTGGGTGGCTCAGTGGGTTAAAGCCTCTGCTTCAGCTCAGGTCATGATCTCAGGGTCCTGGGATCGAGCCCTGCATTGGGCTCTCTGCTCAGTGGGGAGCCTGCTTCCTCCTCCCTCTCTCTCTCTCTCTGCCTGCCTCTCTGCCTGCTTGTGATCTCTGTCAAATGAATAAATAAAATCTTTAAAAAAATAAAAATAAAATAAAAAAATTAAAAAAATAAATTACCTTTGTATACTAGGAAATTAAAGAAATTAATCAAAGCCTAGGACTACCAATCAAATATTTGCCAGATTATAAGAGGAATTTCTACCCATGGTAAGCCTGACAGAACTAGAGTGAACAATAATAATAATATGCCCCCCTGAGATAGAAATGACAATACTATCAAAAAGAGATTAAAAAGAAATTAATAGAGATTAAATGAGAGTGACTGAGATGAGAAGAGATCAAAAGGAAACAAAAAATGCAATATTCAAAAAGGAGAAAGGATAGTCTCTTCAATAAATGGTGGCAGGAAAACTGAACAGCCACATGCAGAAGAATGAAATAAGAACTCTATCTTACACCATACACAAAAATCAATTCAAAATGGATTTAAAACTTGAATTTAAGACCTAAAATCATAAAACTTCTAGAAGAAAACATAAGGAAGTCCCATGAGATCAGTTTTGGTAGTGATTTCTAAATATGACACCAAAAGTGAAGATGACAAAAGCAAAAATAAATAAGTGGAACTACATCAAAGTTAAAAGCTCCTATACAGCAAAGGAAATCATCAACAAAATGAACAGGTGGCCTATGGAATGAGAGAAAACAGGTACAAATCATATATCTGATAAAGAGTTAATATCTAAATATATAAAGAATTCATACAACTCAATGCCCCAAAAAAACAAGTTGATTTTAAAAATAAGCAGAGGATCTGAATAGACATTTTTCTATAGAAGACATACAAATTGCCAACAGGTACATAAAAATGTGTTCAACATCACTAATCATTGGGAAAATGCAAATCAAAACCACAGTGAACTATCACTTCACATGTGTTAGGATGGCTATCATAAAAACGACAGGAGATAGTAAATTGTCAAGGATGTGGAGAAAGGGGAACTCTTATGCACTGTTGATGGGAAGGTAAATGTTATAGCTGCTGTGGAACACAATATGATGGTTACTCAAAAGATTAAAAATAAAACTATCAGACAATCCAAGAGTCCCATTTCTGAGTACTTACCCAAAGTAAATGAAAACAGGATCTCAATGAGATTTCTGCATTCCCATGTTCATTGCAGCATTATTCACTACAGCCAAACTGTGGAAACAAGTTCAGTGTCCATTAATGGATGAATAGATAATATATTTACAAATGTTTATCTATATAGATACACAATTGGATATTTTTCAGCCTGAAAAAAGAAGGAAATCCTGCTATTTGTGACAACATGGACGAAACTTGAAGCTACAACGCTAAGTGAAATAAGTCAGAGAAAGACAACTACTATATAATATCACATACATGTGGAATCTAAAAAAAGCTGAACTCATAAAACAGAGACTAGAATGGTGCTTATCGGGGGTTCTGGGGAGTGAATGGGGAGAAGGGAGATGTTGGTCAGAGAATACAAACTTCCAGCTTTAAGAGGACTAAGTTCTGGGGACCTAATCTCAGCATAGTGGTTATCACTAATAATACTGTGTTATATACTTGAAAGTTGCTGAGAGTAAACTTAAATGTTCTCAGCATAAAAACAAAACAGTAATTATGTGAAGTGATGCAGGTGTTAGTTAATGCTATGATAGTAATAATTTTGAAATACATAAGTGTATCAAGTCAACATATTGTAAACCTTAAACTTATAGAATGTTGTATGTCAACTGTGTCTCTCTAAAGCTAGGGAAAAAAAAAGCCGAAAATGCAATATTCAAATAAAATGTGTGTTGGAGACCAATTTTTTTTGTAAAAAACTAAATTAATGACATAGAAGACAAAATTGAAAAGTCTTTCTAAAATAGAGAGAAAAAGTTTTAATTTTGAAGATTAAGAGAAAAATTCTCAAGCACCTAGAAGAAATAAAATTATAAGCTATCTATAAAGAAATAAAAATTGGTGGAGAGTCATACAATATATCTGAGGGACAATCCAATTTAAACTGGAAAATCTCCCAAAGCCTCTGAGATGTGGCAGAATTGGAGTGAAGGGTGTGTGTGGTGTTAAAATAAGGTGAGAGAGGGAAGAAAGCTTTTTAAGGAGTAGTTAATTCCCTAAAGCCTGAAATACTTTCTCCTAGCCCATCACTTTAGGTGGCTACTCTTTCTGTATCCCTGAAGAAATCCCAAGTTTTGTTGTTTTTTTGTTTTTTTTTTAAGATTTTTTATTTACTCATTTGAGAGAGAGAGAGAGAGCACAAGCAGGATAAAGCGCCAGAGGGAGAGGGAGGAAACTCTCTGCTGAGCAGAGCCCAGTGTGGGGCTTGATCCCAGGACCCTGAGATCATGACCTGAGCTGAAGGCAGACACTTAACCAAGGGAGCCACCCAGGCACTCCAAGAAATCTCAAGTTTCCTTCTGGAGAAGGTAAAAGAGAAATTAGCTGGAAAAGAAGATTCTAAGCATAAACACCTGAGTACCTAATGAAAATACAGAATTACATGACACACAAACCATCATTAGCTCTCCTAGTTCACCCTGCAATGAAGTTTGAAGCTGGCACTCTCATTCGTATGTCTACTACTTCCAATCACTTTTTACTCCTCCTTTCTTGATCACAGCCAGCGATCCCAGAACTGCCACCTGAGAAAATCTTCTCCTTTATGAGGTAGAGACCAAAGGAGTAAAAAAAGTTTGGAATGAGTGGAAACTAGGCAGACATATTTTTAAAAGATAGCATGCTAAAAAGAAATCATCAGTGATATCAGCAGAGACATAAGACAATAAATTATACCCATGAAGCAAGATGTACATCCCCCAAGGAAAAAAATATTTAGAGAACAAAAACAAGATCTTAAAATGTTAAGCATCATAGGTAATATATTTTGAAGTAAAATGTATAAACAAAATAAAATAAATTTTAAGATTTAAAAATAAAGATCGTAAAATAAGAAAATTAACACATCATATAGAGCAAAATAACAACAAAGATGAAACATAGGAGAGAAAGATAAGAAAATTGGAAGGCCATTCTAAGAAGTTCAGCACCTGAATAATAGGGGCTGCAAAGAGAGCAAAGGAATGTAGAAAAATGGAGTGATGGGAGGAAGAAAATCATCAACAAAATCTTTTATTAGGCACCTGGGTGGCTCAGTTGTTCAGCATCTGCCTTTGGCTCAGGTCATGATCCCAGGGTCCTGGGATCAAACTCTGCAT